GTAACTGTAAAATTGGGAGCGATATTCCTCAAGCAATGAAGCTTCAGATATATATTTCAGAATGTGCTCTCAAGCTGGTTAAGTAAATTAAATGTGAAACTTAAGAAGTTGGAAATGATATAGACTTAACACTCAATAGCTATGGAAGAATGTTTAGTTTGGTGGCCTGTAAGCACAATTTTATGAGGTAAAGAGCATCTTGACTCTACCAACACCTGACTTTAAGGACATCCTGTCTCATCAAACAAGATTATACTGTTTATGCAAAAGACATGAAATTTGGGTCAATGTGCTATTTTTAACAATAACTGAAAGTGGATAAAAACCATTGTTATAATGCTCCTTATTAAATGTTAGGCCTGCCTTGGGCCTGCCTTCCACTAGTCATACTATTGTAGGAGTGATGTGAGCATCTTACCTCTTCATTGTCAAACAGACAGATGAGGCGGATGTTTGGGTCTTGACTCAGGCTGTTTCCCTTGCATGACTCAATCAAAGCCTAAAAATGAGTAATAACAGCTGAAAATTATGTAATACATGTACAAATAACATTGTATATACATCCAATAATGCTTAATTTGTTTTTAATAAAATACAGTTCAACCACAGCCACACAATGCTGGACTGAGGGGGATTGGGAGAAGGAAAATGTTCATAAATTAGCAATTCAGAAAAACACTAATCTTTGAAGTTCAGAAGTTTTGGATATTATTACCTCAGTGGCACAGTATGCATTCAGAAGATTATCCAGTCTAGGTGCAAAAATGAACTCTTCAAGGATTCCACCGATAGCCTGTGAAAATGAGCATTATATGATTTAAAACCTTACCATTGTACTTGTTTTAGGAAGAAATATACATACTCCTTGCTTTATCTTGCTTTGAACACAATGTATGTAATTCCTGTTTATATTAGCTATTCACTGGTACATGTACAATGAAAACAAAATATATACATAGATGTGTAACAATTCTTTAATTTCATTATTTTTCACATACATTGCAAAAGCTAAATTAAGAAAAAAAATAGCAATAACAGATTGGTAATAACCAACATTTATTATTTCAAATAAATAATAACTGTATGCAAGTTTATCATAAGTTTACATATTCATTGTAGTTCAGTTGTTTTATTGCACTCATACTCTTTATAAATAATAGTTATATACATTTTCTGAATAATATTGATGAGATGATCATCATTTCTGGCTGTTCTATAACATGTAACTTACAGCTGGTTGTGTGTCGGCAAGGCAGAGCTCAAAATCCAACATTTGTTCTGGCTGGATCCTGAGTTCATCACAGATCAATTTTACGAGTAATGGCTGG